GGGGGGGGGGGGGGGGGATTAGGGCTGCGGGTGGCGGCGCAACGGCCAGCCAGCCCTGATGGAGAGAGAATTAATCTGAAGGCTGGACGCAGACCTGCATCCCTGCCACGCTCCTGTCGCAAGCCGGCGCAACACGTCACACCGCCATCACCTGGAGGGGTGGGAGGGAGTGGAAGAGGAGAGAGAGGGAGAGAGCAGATAGGCAGGCAGGCGGGCAGTCTTCGTCCGCGTGTGCGTGCTTGCGTGAGCGTGCGTGCGTGTGTGCGTGTGCGTGTGCGTGTGCGTGTGCGTGGTCTCTCTGGCGTCTCCGTAACACCAGCCTCCTGCTGCCGTCAGTCCCCCTCTCACGGCCCCTTTCTGACACCATGATTTTCTGCAATCACTTAGGTGAATACAAGAAGGACGAACTCCTGGAAGCAGCAAGGTGAGTACAGTCTGCTGCCTGCCCCCTCCCACTCAGCCCTCCCCCCACCTCTTTGTCCGTCCTCCCCCTCTGCCCCACCCCCTTCCCATACACAGGATCTGTGAATGACTTCCCCTATGTGCAGTATTGGTGTCTCCTCCTGGATGCTGGTTGGCTGCTTGCTTGCTGTATGCTGCCGATGTTTTTTGGGGGGGGGGGGCGCTGCTGTGCTCTTTGTGATGCTGGGGGTGGGCGGGGAACCTGCGCTGCATCTTTGACAATGCCTGACTTGGAGGTGGGGACTATTAACAAGAACCCCACCCCACCCCCCTTCCTCCCCACACGTGCTGCTTGTGGGAGTCCTTTCATCACCATGGTGATGGGGCGGCTTTACCCGATTGGCTGGCTGGACTGAGGGTTTTTGGCCACTGGTGAGGGTGACTCACTGGCCCAGTGTTGACTGGTTCCCGCCCCCGTGCGCTCTGCATTGCAGCTGGGCCTTCCTGACCCAGCGGGGAACCTAATCTAGGCTTCTAACAGGATTGGGGCTTCTCTTCCTCGTTCTGTCAGCGGAACCCGCAGCCGGGGCCATAAGCCACAGGCTGGCTGCCACGACAACATGGTCGTCTAGAGCAGAGAGCTGGGTGTGGGCTGAGAGCGGAGATGCTGGTTTTCGGAAGGCAGCCCCGCCCCGCCCCACCCTGCACACACAGCCTGTCAGGCTCTCTCTCTCAGCCTCACCCACCTGCATCCTGTTACTCCTTAGCTGGGGGCCCAGGCCACTGTCCCTCAGCACCTGCTATTAATGCATTCTGTCCCCCCCCCAGGAGCGGTAACGAGGAAAAGCTCATGGCCCTGCTCACCCCCCTGAATGTAAACTGTCACGCCAGCGATGGCCGAAAGGTAAGACGCAGCTCCTTCTCTCCCGAGTCCCATCCAAGCTGAGCTCTGCTCTCTGCCCCTCCCCCCACTCC